ATTACTTTGGAAGTCTGCCAGACTGTGTCCACTGGAGAAACTTTTTCGAACTGTCAAGTAGAAGCTCCTCTTTCAGTGCTGGTATTCTTGCAGCCAGTACGACTCTGTGTCCTACACACTTCTGTCCATTAGATAGCTGGATAAGATGAAAAATAGTAAATTATCTAGTGCACTTACCTGAATTTGCACATCAGTAAAGCAGTTTGTCCTACGGAGTTCGTCAGGGGCCGGCAAAACTGTAGACAGTGGTGGGCTGTCTTCAAAGATGGTTCGATATGTCAGCCCTTGTTTTATCATCGTCATGCACTAATGACTGTGTAGAGCGATATGCAAGTCGACCTTCGCCTTTCTTGCACAGGATCAATCACATGTTAGCGAAATTGTCATTAGCTCAATGTGTGAATTGGTTTGTATTCGGAGAAGACGATCGCTGCTTCTGAGCTCTGCTGTCGATTTGGAGAAGCTACTTATATAGGGTTGTAATGTTGCTTAACATGCAATGGAATATCAAAATAGTTCAGTTGCGCTAGAATGCTTCGATGGGAATGACCTTCTTTCTGGCCGCCTACAAAACGTTTATTTGTTAAAAAATGGCTACACGAGCAGAATGCATTTAGTTCATTGATTTTCCATATCCTTGTTAATTCAAAGCTACTTAAGAGAAAACATCTGCTACATGTCCCTCCTTGTGTTTATCCTATAAGAGGTTACGTCTGCTTACCAGTTTACATCTGAAGAAATGGTACGTTTCGGCAGTAAAGAATTTCTAATTATGAGATTTTAGGACTGTGAAGTGTTCATTTATAATAGGTCATATCCTATGATTTATTAACGTTGCCTATAAGGTATACAACATGATCCCCATCCATTACAGCATTTTATGACCGCCATGTGACCACCGCTTCATAGCATGTGTGATTTTCCGTAGACAGAATGTTTACTGTATTTCAGAAAGTCTCAATGCAAATATAACGGCAGGTAGGGGTTAAAAATTATTAGGAAATTTCTTTCTTCAGCTATCAACTTTGAAGAAGTCATAATATGCCACCAAAAGATTAGAATAAATAACATTTTTGTGCATTTCTTTCTAAATAATATACTGAAATGTATAAAAATATTGAAAAGCCGTGAGAAAACGCATATTACCTGGTTTCCTATATAGCAAAGAACCATACGGGGAACCTGCTGGCAATTCGAGGAACAAAATGCTTGGAATACAACCACAAACCCAAAATTCCTAACCCAAGGTCACTACATTATATAAATGAAAAGAAATTATAAGAATACTAAAGAATAGAAATAAATTTGTGGAAAATATTCAACAGATGGCAAAAATGGAAAATGGGGAACTCTAATTATAAATTATAATCGAAAAATAATGCAGCTAGTTCTCTGTGCCTGTTACTGAGCTGAATCTATTCACGGCAGGAACCAATGTAAGTACAAAGTTCAGGGACTGGGTATTCAGCAAAATTGACAACACCAATACCACTACTAACTTCTATGAGTTCTTAGTGAGCAAAGAAGGCCTTCGGCTCGCATTTGGGAGGTTAACCTATAGGTGTTAAGGCTAAGACGGCTAACCCTAACAACTACAATTTTCCAGGACCGTTCCCTTAGGAGATGGGAGAGAAGACGGTGGGAAGGTCAGATTGTTAGGAATAGTTCATTCTGCAGAAGAATAGAAGTAAAGGTTGAGAGATTTGACTATCGGAGCACACGTCCGGCCACGAGGCGGACCTGATCTGAAGTCCTGTCTAGGGAGCAGACATTCGAGCCGCCA